GTTTGGGCGTGGCTGATACTGAAGGGTAGGTGGATGTTGCTTGTGTTGTTTCTGTGTTTTGTTTGGAAACTTGTTTGTTTATTTGGAAATGCCCTTGTTTGTTCTCTCGGACATTGGTTTGTTTCTTTGTGTAGATATATTTGTTTCTTTGTCTTTATTTATGGAGATATCCATATGTTTCTTCCTTTTAGGTATTTTTTTGTTTATTACTTTGTGTATATACTTATTCGTTTATCTGTTACCTCTAATTCAGTCTTTTATACTCAAATTTTAAATGTACGAGAGAGAGAGAGAGAGAGAGAGAGAGAGAGAGAGAGAGAGAGAGAGAGAGAGAGAGAGAGAGAGAGAGAGAGAGAGAGAAAGAATTTTTTTCGACTGCATTATCAGATGTATAAAAGTATCTTTTTCTCAAACCTTTTTTGTATAAATTGCAATTTTGCTCTTTCATATATCGAACTTTTTCTTGATGCAACCCACAAAAAACAGATTAAAACACATTAAAACTAGTAAAAAATCTTTATCAAGAACTCCAAAATACGAAATACAAGCTCTCGAAAAGCCCTTAATAACACGTAGACCGAAAAAAGATTATATAGTGTATGGGTTTTCATTATTTCCAGATGGTATCCTCCAGGCCACGGGGATTTCTACTTGTCCTTTTTAAACTCGGGTCTTCTTAAGGAGTTTTTGCAACAGGTAAGGGACAGAGTATGATGTTGCTACACGTTGTTATATATGTCTTTTTTATATTTATGTCTTTTTATATATATCTATATATCTGTGTGTGTCTATCTATTTATCTACCTATCTATCTATCTATAACCACCCCATTTATATATATATATATATATATATATATACATATATATATATATATATATATATATATATATATATATATATATATATGTTTATATATATATATATATATATATATATATATATATATATATATATATATATGTATATATATGTATGTATATATATATATAATTATATATGCGTATATATATATATTATATAATACACGGCTCTTTTTACAACATTGTTATTTAGAGTAACAATACAGAGGACAAAGGATATATTAACGCTTTCGTTTTGTTCATTCAATGCCAAAATTATCCCCCCACCTAAAAAAAAAACAAAAAACGTAAATCACTTACACACACAAAGCGAAAAATATGTACAGATCTTTCACACAAAAAATCCTCTTACAAAAACATAAAGAATCTGATCCTCTCAGTAATATAAGAACGTGATTGTAAAACCTATTAATGCGTATTTTCCCCTCGTTTTTTGTTTTACTTGATGGACATATTACTTTTATCTTTTTATCTTGATAAGTAGTTTTATTAAAAAAAAAACACAAAAAAACTCGTAGTTCACACACACACACACGAACTTAAACAACGCAACAATAAGTGCTAATCTTATACACAAAACATTTCCAATTCTCTTAAAGTCATAAACAAAAATATAGAGAATCTGATCCTCTAAAAAAAGAAGAACAAAATATGTATATAACCTATAATGCGCATTTTCCTTTCGTTTTTTTTCCATTTGATAGACATATTACTGATAAGTACTTTTATCTGAAGCTGCTTAGTGACGAGTGACAGAGCATACAATGTGTAAGATAAAACGTTATGAAATGCATTAATGTTATATACTGATACGTGTTGTAAAGATTTTTTTTGCCTGGTAACATTGCGATTTTGAAAATCCCTGGTGATAATAAATATGATAATGGTATTAATTTAATTGTTGTGATTGTTATTCAGAATCAGTCAAACTCACGCAACGTAAATGTGCAGATAAGTGGAAAAGAAACAATAGCAACGTTAGAGCAATGACAGTAAGAATACAATAAGAACAACGAAGCAGTAAGAAAAGAAAAGAAAAAACAATTGCAACAAAAATACAATAAATACAACAGTAACAACAGCGCCTTCCAACAGCAGTTACAGCACCAACAACACTATCACCCCCTCCCTCTCCCTCCTCCTCCTCCTCATCATCATCATAATCATCATCACCACCACCTCCACCTCCCTCTCCCTCCTCCTCCTCACCCGCGTCCACTCGCCAACAGGGAAAGGAGTACGTCTTCCTAAGTAACATCGACAACCTGGGTGCCACCGTTGACCTCAATATCTTGAACTTCCTGCTGGGGGGAGACACGCAAGGTCACTGCGAATTCTTGATGGAGGTCACGGACAAGACGAGAGCAGATGTGAAGGTCAGTGAGGGTAACGGTGTTGATAACGGTGTCATAAATAAGAGAAGAATGAAAGAAAAGGGAGAAGAGAGAGTCAGAGGGAGAGGGAGAGTGTAAGAAGAAAGATAGAAAGAGATGGTTCGTCTCATAATCTTGGTTGTTTATGATTGATCTAAGTTTGTATCATTGCTGAAAGAAATGGAATGGATAGAGTTTTTATCACAGTCTTTGCTAGTTATAGGCCTGTACCATTACTGGAAAAAGAGAGTGGATATATACAGA